GGTTTTTTTTTTGTTTCTTCATCAACTGACAAGTATACAATACACACAGCAACAACAACAACAAAACACTTGAACCGAAACAAATAAAAATGTGTTTGATATTGTAAATTATAGTTGAACATAATTTTAACTAAAATTATTTCTTAACCTAAACCAATTCACGAAATTGCGCTACCATCTTTCATTGTACTAAGGTAGATACTCGTCTATACACGACACGGATTAGCCCCACTGGTCACGGCTTTTTACTAGAACTCCGAGAATTTTCTCATGAAGCTAGTCACTAGTGAGCACATGGTAATTATCAGTTTAGGGGTTATGGACATCAATCGGTTCATGACCTCAATCAAAAACTTTACAATCTCCACAACCCCTAAACTAAAATTATTTCCGTTCGATCTTGTTTTGTTTTCTATTCAGTAGGATATATCAATTTCCCCAGTGTGTTATCTATTCTTTAATCTATATTGTTAGCTTTAAGAATTTCGAGTAAAAAAATGAAGAAAAAGAATTTGTTATTGATCAAATGGTTTCAAATTATTTGGCGCCAAGTTAATGTGAAACAGTAAAGAGAAAGAACATATATATATATATTTGTAAAATCTCAGCGAATAAATTTGCAAAAGCTTAGACCAAATTGCCAGGCAAGGCGTTGGATTTAATTGAAAATCATCCACTGAGATTTTACAAATACAACATTCTTCTTCTTTAATTGTTATTGGTATAAAAAACAGCACTTTATTTTGATTACCAATGACCTTGAACGTACTATTGGATGAAGTGTATAAAATAATAAATTTTGTAAATTGTATAACTTTCCCTCTTAATTTACTGTGCTGGTGAATCAGTCTGGATTATTTGAACAGTATGATTACGTAATTTGTTTATGGATTAGACATTGTGTTGGATACGGTGGCATTTAACAACCGTGACACTTAGATATTAATCAATTGTTTACTGATCATCTTACGGAAAATAAATAAGACTGATGAGAATCCTTAGGAAAAAAAAGGATGATGTTTTTTATGTCCTGATTAGATAAATACCAATTTCGTCGCTAAAATTAACGTACTTCCATAACTTTCTAGAATATTAAGGTTAAAATGACCTATAAATACCCTTGTTTTGTGGATCTAAACTAACCCTCAAAGTAAGACTTTTCGAATACTGTCTGCCTTTTGACTTCCGTTTATGAATCAAGTGTAGGAGAATTTTAGGGAAGTAGGGGACAAATAACAGTGTCGAGGGTAAAAGTATCCAAAGATAATGCTGATTTGAAGAGAATGCTATGTTTATTCATTTTGTATTGTTTGTTCGGATCTTCCCATTGATGTTTAGCAATGTGATTGATCTGTCTCTTATTGCGATGTGTGCATCCTGTCCAGATTGCCTCGATATTGCCTTAAGTTACAAGCATTATAAGCAAAGATGGGTGGGTAGCTAACAGTGGAGTTCAGGACGCGCATTTCATCTTATTTGGGACTGTTCAGCTGGATGTACCTGCTATACTTTATAAACTTCAGGTTCAAACGAACAAGGTCTTAAAGTCGATTAAAATAAGACCAAGACCGTCGTTATGGTTCACAAAATATCCAAAAATGTTTTATTCCTATTAGATTCTATGGGCTACCAAAGATTCACAAGAATAATACACCATTAAGACTAGTGGTTGTTATTACTAATTCACCAACATACAAACTAGCGAAATACTTACTTAAGATACTTAAACCTTACGATAAATTGGTTAATCATGGAATTAAAAACTTTACTGATTACAAGAATAATATCGATACCAGTCACATGGAAGATGATCGTGTTTCTTTCTTATTTAAAAATGTACCTATTAAAAGACGTCACTGGATGTCATTTATGATTGTTTAGAGTCTGACGCAGATTTATATTAACGATGCCTGTTGAATCCTTCCAAGGTTTTTAGGTTCTTGGAATTATGTATACGATCCACCTGGTTCTTATTCCGAGGAGATCTTTACAGATAGGACGGCATAACAGTGGACTCACCGGTTTCTCTGAATGTAGTGAGTGTATTCATTTATTCCTCAGAAATCGGTGCGATCGCAAAATATATAAATCTACTTAAATTCTAGTTACGGTATGTAGACGGCATTTTGCCATGATTAGACGAAATGGTTTGGAAGAAACATTTGAAAATGTAAGCAACATATCGGTTAGCATTAAGCTAACTAAGAAGATGCAGTTCGCTGACCACAAACTAACGTTTCTCGAATGTTTGGTTGGAGGAACACAATACCAACTTAAGAATTAATGTATTCCGGAAATCGACATATTTTGAGAGATACTTGGATTACTGTTCGGCTAATACGTATTGTGCGAAAGTCACAGATGTAAAAAATCTGATTAACAGGAGCATTAGTCTCAATACAGAGAATGATGACCAACAAACTGAACTGAATGGAATATTGTACACACTTAGAGCTAACAATGACCTTAAAGAGTTTTTGAAGGAGATTATTAGGAGTGAAAGAAAAACTGAGTTGGAGTGTATATTGACAGAATGGAAGACCACCATGGTCAACCCATACCGTGGAGAAACATTGGAAGAAATCAAAAGGATTCTAAACAAACAATATCAGAGTGTATTTTCGGGCTTGTGACACCATAAGATCAGCATTGATGAAAGTTAAGGATAGATTTTCAAAGGAAGAGCAACTGATTATTGTCTACAAGATCAGTTTTCATTATTGTAATGAATCTGGTGTGAGCGAAACATCTAAACAGTTGAATATGAGGTTGAAGGAATACAAATAATGTTTGAAAAATGTTCCCGAATCCTTGGTTGATCTGGAGAAACTTGAGAAAAGGTCAGCGATAGCGTTACATGAGTTAGAAACAGGGTACAAAATCAATTTCGAAAAGACTAAAATACTTCAGAAAGAGTTTAGCACACATAAATAAAGATTGACAAAAGAAATGCTGTATATATGGGTTAATAAGAGCATTCTGGACAGAAGAGATGATATCCAACCAGCGAACACATCGCAAATGTTGATTAACAAGTAACTGAACCATATTATCTATCAAACCTGTTTATTTCACATGCATCGTTATTCTGCTAAAAATTAATTTGATTATTTTAACATTACAACTATATATTTGATTATTCCCATTTTACACACATCGGCATTATAAAACCATTTTCGACTTGCACTTTTATTTTGACTTTTTACGGAATAAATAATCAATACATATTCTAATAGTTGAATTCATCAGTCGATTTAAGCTAGACCACTACTGAAAACCTGAAAGCATTGGACGACCGTTTCATCCTAGTATGGGACTTCTCAGAAGTGTGCATCTACGATCCCGTTCGCTGATTCCGAATCCAGGACCTTGGGTCTAGCGCGCAAATGTTTAACCTTTAGACCAATGAGCAGGCATCTGGCGATGTTAATGCGAGATCGAAGGTCCTAGATCCGAGTCCCACACCAAGGGTCGTGGATGCGCACTTCTGAGGAGTCCCATATTAAGACGAAACAGTTGTCCAGTGCTTCCAGATTTTCAGTGGTGGTCTAGTTTATATCGACTTATGAATCCAACTATTAAACTACTACAATCTCTACAAACCCCGCCCCCAACTAATAATAACTTCAAGTTGCACACACACATAAACACATTCATTCATTTATCTTTACATTGTGAACTTTTCCCATGATTCACATCTAACTGACTAATGTTATCCTATCCCATTGTCAATTTCTGAATATGGTTGGATAAGTATTTAGTGTAGATTTGATTTGATCAATAAACTTTATTTATTCTTTGATAAATTTGATTTTTATATTATGACTTTAAAGAAGTCCAGGAGAGGTTGCTAGATGAAACGTCGGATTTATTGAAATTTCAATTTCTGAGATCACTTCAAATATAACTTACACGAATCATGTCTCTTATGTACTGAGCGCTCGATTTCTGTCAAACCGTTTATTCAGACATTGATGAATATTCGTATAGATTCATCCCTTATAGTTTATATTATACAAGTCATTATTACGAATTTTTTAGTAGTTTTTACAATACTAAGATTTAGTGAATGATATTTCTTCCTGCCTTCTGATTAATATCCTTGTCTGTTTTGACATTAATAATTATTATGCAATAAGAATATATTTAACAAATGTAATAACGAAGAAGAGGAAGATCAAAGAACACACTGTGTCAAGAATTGGAAGCAAACATCAAAAGAATGAATAGTAAACTGGAAACAACTGGAAATTGATTGTCCAGAACAGAGTTGGATGGAGAATGCTGGTGGGCGGCATATGGTCCTCTACGAGGGTTTATTGGCGTGAGTAAGTAAATAAATCTGATTATTAGTTGCAGTAGTATAATCGAATATCTACGCTATATAATTATCAATGAACAGATTGTATATACCTTAATATGTAGACGAATGTAAATGTACACATTCACAGACTTGTTATATATATATATATATATATATATATATATATATATATATATATATATATATATATATATATATATATATATATAACAAGACTGAATATATTCGCTAGAAAGTAAACATACACATCGGATAATTTGAACATTGATATAACTTTAGACAGAAAGAGAGTGATATAGAGAGAAAGAGTGAAATGATGATATTTTGATCTGATAAAACAGCATGAAAATAACATAACTAAAGTAGTTGAAATAACACAACAAGGTTAGTACATAGTATAACAATATCAAGACAAGCATAGTAATAAATGTATGATTAATTCGTTACTGTTTTTCTCTATCCAACTTGTTAGTTTACTCGATTAAAAAATATCTATTATTTTACCATACAAGCTGTGTGTGTGTGTTTACTTCATTTTAATAAAGTTGATCATAATAGGTTAGTGTATTAATATCATAAATATATACTATTTATCTATTGAAGCATTGACATTTAACATTGAACCTTGACGTATGAATGAAATAGTCAGATTTGACTAGTGATAGTGTTTTTCTTTTCAATGAAAAACATCAATAACAATATTTTTATTATTGATAGTAGTAATAGTAGTCTTAGTCTTAGTAGTAGTAGTAGTAGTAGTAGTAGTAGTAGTAGTAGTAGTAGTAGTAGTAGTAGTAGTAGTAGTAGTAGTAGTAGTAGTAGTAGTAGTAGTAGTAGTAGTAGTAGTAGTAGTAGTAGTAGTAGTAGTAGTAGTAGTAGTAGTAGTAGTAGTAGTAGTAGTAGTAGTAGTAGTAGTAGTAGTAGTAGTAGTAGTAGTAGTAGTAGTAGTAGTAGTAGTAGTAGTAGTAGTAGTAGTAGTAGTAGTAGTAGTAGTAGTAGTAGTAGTAGTAGTAGTAGTAGTAGTAGTAGTAGTAGTAGTAGTAGTAGTAGTAGTAGTAGTAGTAGCATAACTATTACCATTACTTAAGGAGGAAGAATGTAAGCGTAAAATGAATCTGAAGTAAATCTAACGTTTCGTTTGGTAATCTGGTCCAAGCTTTTTCATGGAAATATAATCAAAGATTAATATTATAGAATATAAACAGGTATATGGTTCTTCGGTTAAGTTTATACTGAATAGGTCATCCAAATCGTATGTTTTCTTAAAAATTCACCGATCACAGGCGATAAATGGCCAATGAAATATCTTCTTACACTTCAGATTCACTTACGAATTTACACAATCTGTTATCGCAACACACTTTTCGTTTCACACCACATGTCTCATACACACTAAAGCAAATAGCTACTTTAAACATTGTTAATGTGATTGGAAAGTAAAATCGGGTCACTAAGATATTAACAACCGATCAATCATTCAGTAATGGAGAATTTCATGTTTGTCTACTCTTTTAGTGATGTCTGAATTATAACAATCAAGTTGTAACGATAACTTTTCAGACTGTGAAGCTAGTTAACTCTGGTTCGGATCATCAAAAAAAAGGTTTCGATCCTCTCAAGATTATTAGCTGGAAAAATTGCTAATAACATTTTCAAAATTTTTATAATCCACTTGATAACATTACTTTTGATTCATACTTCAGGGCTTAATAAGATTAGTTCCAAGTTGAATTTGCAGACCAAGATGAGTATGGAAAGTACGATTCCTGATGCACGAATAGAGGATCTAATGTCTTTTTCACTTATTCAGGTATTGTTAACCGAGAACGTAAATACATCAAGTTAAAATTCCTGTCAAGTGACCGATTCGAACGCATCATTTTTGTCTATGGTCTACAATTTTTAATAGAAGAAGATATCCATACAAGCCTTCTCAACGAAACTGAGCTAGACCTTTTGAAAACATTAAAAATAGTTACTTACAGTACTAGGGAGTTAAATTAAAATGAAAATGAAATGCTCTAAAAACCAAAACAATTCAGTGCATTGAATACAGTGACAACTGGAATGTTTGAAGAGATTGCGATATCACCTTAAACTGAAAAACGGAACGAAGTCAGTAACATAACAACAGAACAAGCTAAACTATTCACTGCACGCGGGCCTTACTCACTAGAGGGAGAGAATCAGATTCCGCTGAGGGAAATGTATATTCCACAAGCAGTCTGAAGCACGAACGAATAAGCCCACAACTCATGCGTATATATACAGTACAAAAATATCCTTGGACAGCGACACAAAATAGCGTACTAAAAAAGGAAACGTACCAATGATATTTAAGGTATTTCCAAATGGGAAGTACAAACTGAAGGCAAAAGTGGGCGCTTTTGGCACGAAAATCAGAAATTTAAATTTTTAAAATATAACTACAAAAATGAGATGTTTACCAAGCGATTTCTGGGATCTATCATCCCCAACAGCAAGATTAAAATAATCACTGAGACAGCGTTTTCAATCATTATCAAGGAAGTGTTTTCATTAGCTTGTTGGCGCTATGGTAGATGGTATTTCGCCAAGTTTTAGCATTTTGAGAAATACCGTTGTCAACAAGGTAACAAGGAAATGAATAGAAATGGGTTATGCAAATCACACCCCAACATCAGATTTGTAGAAAAGTAGAGAAAATCTTTACAGGAAAAGCTTTATGTGCATTCAAGAGGTCTATTTACAACATTTATGATTAGTGTAAAGCTAAGTGGATATATGTACTTTTACAAATAAAAAAGTTATTCTACACACCTCCAACTAGATACGGCATCTGATATTACTACATAATATCGACGAAACTATGGTGATGCATGGTGAGGTCGTAGTTTCAAAAAGCACCTCAGGTTGCGAAAACGTATTGGGATGGAATATTAGGTCTCAATGGATTATAAATTTGCAATGTTATGTGTCAATGTAAGACTACCATCGAGTCATTTTAGATTACTAATATAAACCGGACCATGTTTGGATTTGATGGAATCAATATAGCTGGTATATATTTGCAATCATTACATGATATTTCTCTTTGAGCACACAAGAGCCAATTCCAGAGAAAATAGATCAAGTTATTTCACTTTTCTTCAAATAAAGGTTCATATGAAAACCAAGAGAAAGTGTAATTCAAGTATAAAGTCACGATAAATACTTCTCAGATGTTGAAGTCCTCTAAAGCTGAAAACTCACCCTCAGTGCTATTTGAAGACAAAAAAATCACAGCTATGGAGGAGATAACTCGAAACATTTCTTGATTTGGTGAGTGACCCGAATGGTGTTAGAGTACTAAGTTTTAAACCTAGAGGATGTGAAATAGGTTAAAGAAGAGCAAATTTTGATCTGAATGGTGGTATGCAACTCAATTCAAATTAAGACTTCGATCTGATGGAACAGATAGAACCTGAGATTATAAGGGTTTTGATAGTTCATAAGTGATGATTCAGAGCAATTTTCGTGTTGCTCACATGATCGTCATAGAATCAATGACCAATTGAGGCCTACCTCAGTTAAAGTTGAGAATAGCATCAAAAAAATAATCTCTCATGAGGAACTAAAAAAATGCACTTTGGAGGAATACAAAGCTATATGCTAGATTTTTAATCATACAGCTATTAAGGAAAAAAATCTTCGTAAAACGAAAAGGAAAGACAGAAATCTAGCAGTTTTTTTCAGTGAAAGGTTTTATGAAAGGAACGAACAGATTAATAAGTTAGAAATGAGTTAAATTTCTCAGTTAAGTTACTCAACATACACAAAGGGAAAAGCAAGATTCACCGATACAACACAGCATGCAACAATCCAGTCACAATTGACGGAGAAGAGTTGGAAGATGTAAAAACCTTCACATATCTGGGCAGCATCATTGATGAACACGGCGGATCTGATGCAGATATGAAGGCGCGGATCGGCAAAGCAAGAGCAACATATCTGTGATTACAGAACATCTGAAACTCAAAACAATTGGCAACGAACATCAAAGTCAGAATTTTCAATACAAATGTCAAGGCAGTTCTACTGTATGGGGCGGAAACCTGGAGAACCACGAAAACCGTCATACGGAAGACAAAAGTGTTTATTAACAGTTGTCTACACATAATACTTCGGCCAGACACTATCAGCAACAACCTACTGTGGGAGAGAACAAACCAGGCCCCAGTAGAGGAAGAAATCAGGAAGAAGCGCTGGAAGTGGATAGAACACACATTGAGGAAAGCACCCAATTGCGTCACAAGACAAGCTCTCACATGGAATCCTCGAAGCTAAAAGAAGAGGAGGAAGACCATAGAATATATTACGCAGATATGAGAAGAATGAACAAAAATTGGATAGAACTGGAAAGGAAGTTTCAGGATAGAGTGGGTTGGAGAATGCTGGTTGGCGGCCTATGCTCCATTGGAAGTAACAGGCGAAATTACGTAAGTAAGTAAGGTATTAAATGCAGTCCTAAACATCAATGAGAAGATTCAAATAATCAATGTAAAAATGAATTACTCATCTGTTTATTGAAGAATTACTGATGTCCCTATCTAATGAAAAGTTTCTATATTCATTTATAATTAACATAATTCATTTGTTTCATTCAGTCAATCAATATAACCCTATACACTTTGTTATCTGATTTTTATTATTGTTTTTAAAAATACTACTACAAATTATATACATTGTTTTCATTGAAAGATAGAAATATGAAGAGGGAAATACAGTAAATAATCTAATCAATATCTAAGTAGAAACTGTTTTTATCGATTTTTTTTCTTTTTGTTTGGGGGGGGGAGAAGAAAAACTCTGATTTCTCTCAGTTTTTTTAAAAAAATATTTTTTGCGGAAAACACAATTAATCATGACATTAATGTTTATTTAAAACTAATAAATCATCTGATTACATAATTTTATAAAATTAAATCTCTTTTTTTTCTCTTCTCTAATTTGATAAAATATTGAATAGATTAGAAGTTTATAAGTGAAGAATTTTTTTTCATTAGTTAAGATCATAAGTTAATTGAAGCTAGATCATCATGGAAAACCTGGAAGCACTGAACGGCCATGACTCATGATTTCAACTATTGAAATTACTATAATATCCACAAAACCCTTCATTAGTGACTGACTTCAAGAGATATTCCCGGGAGTTCTAATGAGAAGCAGTGACCTATGGGGTTCAACTGGGTCTGTTGTGAGATAGTAACTCACTGAAGATAATGGTGGATGTGTCAATCCATTTAGTGGATTGGTTGAAGTTGGACATTAACACTGTTGGATGCTGGCCAGATCAGTGGTCTAGTGGTTATACGTTTGAGTGCGAGACCGACAGATCCTGGTTTCGAATCTCTCGTATCAATATCATGGATGCACACTGCTGAGGACTTCCACAATAGGATGAATCTGCCATCCAGTGCTTTTAAGTTTTCCATGGCGGTCTAGATTCATTTCACTCATGATCTTAACTATGAAAAAGTTATTATAATATTCATAAAACCCATTGTGATACTAATAAATTATTTATTAAAATATTTTCAATTATTCATTAAGACATAGCTTGTAAAGAATTACTTAACTAACGTTTTGAGGAAAATTCTTGAGATGGAATATTAAATCTCAAAGTATTAGAAATTTGTTATGTTATTTGTCAATGTAAGACTACCATTAAATCTCGTTATATTACTGATATAAACTTGACCATATTTGGATTTGATGGAATCAGTAAAGTTGATATATATTTGCATTCATGAAATGATATTTCTCTTTAAGTACACAAGGGTCAACTGATATTTTCAACATATAATTTTAAAATGTTATCGTCTTAATCTTTTAATGCAGATTCGCTTTTATATATTTTGAAAGGTAATTTCAGCAGTTCTAGTGAGAAGTCTTGGTCAGTGTAGTTCATCCATATCAAGTGTGTACCAGTTACCCACTGAACATTATCAGAGACTGTTGTGTTAAATCGTCCATTGATTGAAAATAAACACGCAAGCCATTATATATCGATTAAATGGTTTGATAGTTAGGTACTCGTCGGCAGTCACGATGATCTTGGATTCCATGCTGATGGGGTTATAGAAGTGTACCGCTACCGAGAAATATCATACTAAAAAGAAACAGATGTTGAATGTTAACCAATTTCCAGTCATTCTCTAAGATCAGCACATGATGTAGATTATGGATAAATTCTAAATTACTGCCTAGTTAGTAGGTTAAAAATTAATGAATAGTCAGTTCAGTAACTAGATATTCATATGAAACTTTTAGAATCATCTGATAATATTTCTTAACGTATATAATGTAAGTCATAAGTTGAACGGTTGTGCGGTTTTTGTCGACATTGTTAAGTGTCAAACATTAAATATGGAATATGAATACTAAAATTTTTATATTCATTGTGAAATTAATGCTTTTAAACTTCAATCCTTCAATGAATTAAATCATACATTCAATAATAAGACATTATTTCATTATCTTTAGTGTTTCATTCACTTCACAATATTTATTCTCAATGACAAAGTTGATTTGTTTCAATCGGAATTATCTTGAGATGGTGGAGAAGATTTGTAGCTCAGGTGGATGATTTTGGTGGAGTTTTGTTCTCTGAGCTGGACCAAACCATCCAGCTCAGAGAACAAAACCCCACCAAAATCTGAATTATCGATTGATTTCCTAGTAAACATTCCAGTTTCTAACAAAATATTGATATTCTAACTATATAGTTAACATCAAGGCTAATAATATAGAATTATTATATGTTCATATAATTGTGTTTTAATATAATGGGGATTGTTTCAGGGATTAAAATCTTGTGATTAACCTATTGCATTGTAGGTACTCAATGAGTTCCTGAAATATAAAACAAAGTTCACAGAAACGAAAACATCATTGGAATTTATAAAAATAACTATATTGGTTCATATAATTGTGTTTTAATAGAATGGGGATTGTTTCAGGGATTAATATAGAATTGAAAGTTGATCACATTGATCTTATATATAGAATTAATAATTCTTACTTCGGAAGTATATTAAACTGAAACTAAACACTTAATCGATTCTCCCTAGATTTTTTTAAAAACAGTTTTGTTTTCAACCGATTTTATTTTATATTTAAGAGAATTTAATTTTAAACCATCAATTGAATAGAGAAATTGTAATAATAGTATTGTGGTGTGTGTTATTTATATCCATATAAGTAGTATATAACAGTGGTCAGGCATAGAATGTATTTCAGCAGAAGATCGATAAGGAAAGAACAGTAACGGAACGCAATTGATATGAAAATACATGAACAATGAACTATGAGACAATGGACTGATATTTACAAAAGAACAGTCAAATTTGAAACGATGGATTGATATTTTGCAAATTACTTATTTACTATATGATTCTCAGATTTTATTGAGATACTTTGTAATTTCGTGTTCAAATACATTCGATTGTTCCCACTCGTATTATTATTCACTACAGTATAAAACAATACATGAAAGAGTCAAAGGGAAGTGAATGAGGCCAGAGAACGTAAAAGAGACTTAACATTTAGTATGGTGATCATTGCCATCATTCTCATTCAGTGTCAATCCATTTATTATTGACCAGTGATATACGTATATTATCTAGTGACCTATTCTCCACTTTCACTGGTTGTTGTGATCTGTTCCAATAAACAGATCAGTGATTCTCTACCATCTGAAAATGTTAGTAACGAATTAAATGATGAAGTTAAATCTGTTTGTGAAGGTATTACACCAGTATTGTCACCTGAACAACAATTCAATCCATTCGACAGTTGATCCGACTACTTAATCAACGTATAGGTTGAAGCATTTGAATTGTTCAAATGGTTGAAGTAGTACTGTCTGCAAAGAAACAATCAAATTTAAAACGATGGATTGATATTTTGCAAATAACCTATTTCGCTGATTGAAATCATGAGTCGATTGAAGCTAGACCACCAGGGAAAACCTGGTATGGGACTCCTCAGCAGTGCGCATCCACGATCCCGCACCCCGCGAGATACGAACCCAGAACCTACCGGTCTCGCACCAGACGCCTAACCAACTAGACCACTGAGCTGGTCGGCATCCAACGGTGTTAATGTCTAAGTTCAACCAATCCACGAAGTTGCGCCAATGTACACCTTTGTTTTCAGTGAGTTACTATCTCACAACAGACCTGCTTGACGTTCACTGGTAACGGCTTCTACTTATTTACTATATAATTCTCAGATTTTATTAAGAGGCTTTGTAATTTCGTGTTCAAATACATTCAATTATCCCCACTCGTGTTCTTCTTCACTACACTATGCATATATATCATTTCATCAGATTAGAATATAAATATAATTTCTATTTTGAATTCATTTGTAATTATGCTTATATGTATATACATTTACTGACTGATCAAAAGTCGAAATTTCATTGGTTAATTCTTAATCATTTTTAATTTAGACGCCAAATACATATACACTATATTATCCAATCAAATTAAATCCGATTGGTGTATTCTCTCATAATTGATATCAATATATTCACGTACATAACAACTACTGACATACAAAAAAATAGTTACCTTTTTCAACATACATCATATATATATTATATATTAGTAAACAAGTTAAAAGTATGTTCATAAATAGTAAAATATTTTTTTTCGTTGCTTTAGTTCATTTATCAAAATGATAAATAACCAAAAAAATTATTGATTTTAAAAACCACAAATATTGATTAATCAAAATTGTGACTATCATTATCACTAATAAATATATATTATACACTTATATAAAATAAGTAATATAATCAATAAAAGAATGAAATTATGAATTATATATGGTTAATATGGTGTATTCTAACATGGATAACAGCTATCTTATGTACCATTGGTTGTTTATTACCATATTGGTTAGATGGTAAAATTTTTTCCAATTATGAAATCACTACTCATGAACAAAATCTAATAAAACATACTACTACTATTACTACTACTTATTCTAAAGATATATCAAGTACATTAAATTTATTTCGTCGTTGTATTTATCCAGTATATACAAATGTAATCACAGATATTTTATCAGAAAATCCATTTAAAGCAAAATTATTTTTTAATCAACCAATTCATTATAGATTAAATATAAAACAACATTATTTAGAATCATCTCTTATTCATATACAAACTAATTGTGGTTATTATCAATTTTTTGATATACCTCATATAGCATGGAGATTTAGTTTAATCTTATTAATTATAAGTTGTTGTAGTTTATTTTTTTTAGCATTTCTATTATCATTTACTGGGTGTTATTTAAATTTTCTATGGAGATTAAATATACATCGTATATGTCAATTAGGATTATTATTAACTGGTAAGTTTATTTATTAATTTATTGATTCAATTATTCATTTAATTTCAATGTTTTTTTCTGTATTGATTGTTAATGAAATTTCATTATATTATATAAATATCAGAAAAGGTTTTATGAAAACCTGGAAAAACTGGAAGTATTGAATAGTCGTTTCGTTCAATTGTGGAACTCTTTAGAAATGCGCATCCATGATTAGTGGAGTTCAATCAAGTCTGTTGTGAAATAGTAACTCACTGAAGATAATGGTGGATGTGTCATTTAATTTCGTGGATTGGTTGAGGTTAGACATTAACACCGTTGGATGCTGGTCAGTTCAGTGGTCTAGAAGTTAAGCGTACACACGCGAGATTAAATGTCGTGGGTTCGAAGCTCGCGGGATGCGGTATCGTGGATGCGCAATGCTGAGGAGTTCTACAATAGAACGAAATGGCCGTCCAGTGCTTCCAGGTTTTCCATGATAGTCTAGCTTCAATTGACTAATGATCGCAACTATTAGAAGGATTACTATGATATCCACAAAACTCCGTCTGATATCAATTAACATACTCTCACTCGTGACTCGCTTCAAGAGGTATTATATAAATCTTTAACTGGTTAATAATAATTATATTACAATTATATGACAACTATTATTCATTGATTTATTGACTATATTACAGTTTTTTGTATATTGAATGATTCATAAGTTAGGGATGTTATAGAAGTAGACAGTTCGCAAAAAGACTTGTGTACATTTTGTAGGAAGTTTTCGTCTTAAGATGATGTTAGTTAGAAAATCATCGAAATCTAGAGTGTATTGCTTGATTAGTGAGTAGTAGTGACCAGTATCATGTTAATCTTGCCTTTTTAGTACTGATCGCATCCTATTGATCAAGTGGAGATGAAGCCACTAGTTTAGGTAATTTATGATTGTATGGACTATATATTCGTGTATTATGGTTTGAAGTGGTCACGAGAAAACTAGGTTCCATGTCAGTTAGCAGTTATCGGTGAGACAAGTACCTTGAATATTAAGGGAAATGATGCTACCTGTGGGGTCTAAAATAAATATTGCATTTTTTTAGCTGTTCATATAAGTATATTGTTGTGATGAGTGCCAATCCAGCGCCAATCTAGGTCTAGGGTTTTCGATTGACTTCATTGAATAACCTACCTTCAAAGCCAGATTGTGTCAAGCAGACGTTACATTCTAATTCGGTAGTTTTCAAACCTTGTGAAATTATAACTTGAACTTGGAAAGAAACATTTTTTCCCGTTTGACAGTCATGAGTGAAAACATTCGATTCTCGACAGCTAAGTGTATCTCACTTTTAGCTGAAACATCAGAATCGTCCAAGGGATCTCATATTAATTAATCTGAATGTCAGTGGATCTTCTATGACTGAGTATATGATTTTAATGAATTTGTTAATAAATTATATAATACTGCAGATTTTTAATTCATACAATAACCTTTATTAATTTTTGATGGTTGAGTTTCACCTTGTATCGGCTCTTCATATTGTAGTTGAGAAATCATTCGATTAATAAAATAACATTCTGAAAAACATCTAAATTAATGACAAAATCAATCATTTCACTGATTAAAATCATGAGTCAATTGAAGCTAGACCACCATGGGAAACCTGAAAGCTTCGATTGACTCATGATTTCAATCAGTGAAATTTCTAAAATCTCCACAAAACCCTTCTGATAAAATCAATAATTGTCAATTCAAAAAGACAAAGAAATAACCCTTCCTTTTCTAGAATCCTCTTAGGAGGTTTCTACTGGCTTACTACATACTTAAGCCTGTGGAGCATAGGCCACCGACCAGGATTCTCTAACCAACTTTGCACTGGGCAATTCTTTCTGGTTACTACACATTCTTTTGATTTCTGTTTCCAATTCCCGACGCAATGTGTTCTTTGGTCCTCCTTTGTTCCTGCTCCTTTCAGGATTTCAAGTTAGGGCTTGCCCCGTGATGCACTTTGATGTTTTCCGTCATGTATGTCCTATCCACTCCCATTGTCTTTCCCTAATTCCGTCCTCAGCTGGAAGTTGGTTTGTTCTCTCCTACAGTAGGCCATTGCTGATAGTATCCGGTCAATGGACATTCGGTATCTTTCGTAGACAATCGTTTATAAATACCTGTACCTTTCGATGATGGTCGTAGTAGTTCGCCAAGTTTCGACTCCGTTCACTAGGATTGTCTTGACGTTTGTATTGAGGATTTTGACCTTGATATTAGTTGACAATTGTTTTGACTTCCAAATGTTCTTCAACTGTAGGAATGCTGTCTTTGCTTTTACAATCGTTGTCTTTACATCTGCATGAGATATCCCACGTTCATCGGTGTTGCTATCCAGATACATGAAACTTTCCACCTCGTCCAGATTATCCCCATTAAGCCTGGTTGTGCTGGTGTTCTTCATGTTGTATTTGAGGATCTTGCTTTGTCCGTCGTGTATGCTGAGGTCTGCTGCTGTAGAGGCTGTTGCTGCACTGGTTGTCTCGACCTACATTTATTCGTGTGCATAGGATAACAGGGTCAGATCGTCTACGAAGTACAAATCGTCTAGTTGCATCCAAGATTCCCGTTCTCAGTTGTGGAGACCTTTATAATCCAATCAACCACCAGAAGAAAGAGGAAGGGGAAGAGTAATCAGAATTGTCTGACTCTAGTCTTCGCTTGAAATGCATCCGTCATCTGTTCTTCATTCACACTTTGCACTGTAGTCCGTCGTATTAATTGATGATTTCTCTGAGTAAACCATGGTGTCGAAGAAGGTTCTATAATGTTCTTCTATCTACACTGTCAAATACTTTCTCATAGTCAAGGAATTTAATGTTAAGTAACGAGTTCTATTTAAATGATTGTTCAACATTGATCTGTAGTGTCACAATTCGGTCCGCGCAAGACCGATCTTTACGGAATCCAGCCTGTTGATATCGAAGTTGAGAGTCTACTGAATCCTTCATCCGATTCAGTTACACTCTTTTGAAAACGTTTCCTTGTACTGATAGTGGTGTGATGTTTCTGTAGTTGGAAGTTTCCAGAGAATACTAATTAATCAATGTATTTTCAGAAAGTTTCTCGTCTTTCAAAGGGCTTTCAACACTAAATCAATTTCCTCTTATTTTGTTTTATCAAAAACCGTGATAAAAATAGTGAAATTTGCAAACATTTAAATGTAAACATTTACTTTTAGATCAGTAAATATCAATAATAATTTAAAACATTTGGGTTAAATCGCAAGGAAATTGAAATCACTTATAAGATTACAAGATCATTTAAAAAGAAATAGGTTAGCTCAGTGGTAACATCTCTGACTGTGAAGCTGGGTGACACGGGATGGAATCCGCCAGGGAGCACCAGTTCCCTCAAGATTACAGGTACACCTTGCTGACGAGTGACGAGTAGCACGAAAACCGGATCCAGGGTTTCCTGTAGAAATAGGTTCATTTAAACTGTATCTCTTGGGGTTTAATTTAATTCATAAGTGGTATTAAATTTCACCTAAATGATTCTAATCAATAATCACGGGATGCCAACACAGGATCTATCAGTTTCGCGCGCAAACGTTTAACCACTAAACCACTGAGCCGGCCAGCATCCAACTGTGTTATTGTCTAACTTCAACTAATCCACGAAATTTAGCGACACGTCCACCATTGTCATCAGTGAGTTACTATCTCACAACGGACCCGGTTGAACTGCACTGGTCACTGCTTTTCACTAGAACTACAGAAAACCCTTTTTTGTCTGAAAAATTATTTTTCTCTTAATTGACAAAAGCTCTTTGTGATCTCAATAATCTGAGGATGTCATGCTCATTTTAAGATTGAAACGTCGTAGGTAGCCTATTGTACATAAATTTAGGTTTATACTATTGAATAAACTAAAATAGACAGAAATAACTATTTAATAATTCAATGGTTGAGATCATGAGTCAGTTGAAGCTAGACTACCATTGGTTGAAGTTAGACATTAACACCGTTGGATGTCGGCCGGCTCAGTAGTGTAGTGGTTAAGCGCTTACGCGTGAGACCGATCGGTTTTGGGTTCGAATCTTGCAAGGCGGGATCGTGGTTGAACACTCCTGAGTCCCATAAAAGAACGAAACGGCCGTCCAGTGTTTCCAGGTTTTCTATGGTAGTCTAGCTTCAAGTAACTCATGATCTCAGTTATTAAAATTACTATAATATTCACAAAAACGTTTCTGATATTAATTATTTCTTACTTTCAGCTAATGTCAATTAATACCAAACATATATGTTTGTTTTAATCTCCACAAACTGATTTCAGTTTGGAAGCAATCAACATTTATTTCGTCTTACTATGATATTTCTTAGTAGAGCGCACCCATAAATGTACTAGAGACTAAACTAAGGACCTACAGGTCTCTCTTTGAAAGTTGAATCATTGGAAATACTGGGTAGGCTTCCATTAGAATCCTTTTAACTTTAGTCAATTTTCTATATAGTGCAACGATCACCACATGTTATTCATGATGTCTGTTTTACTCTAAACATGTTTAATATATGTTAGTCATAACTTCTAACTAGGATTTCAGGAACATTTTCAAGTGAATTAGTTGTAAGCTGATTATAATAGTTAGGTTGAAGAGGTTTTGTGGAGATCAGTTCAATTTGTATGCTCTATTGTTAACACATTGATATCTATTAAGAAGTTTCATACTAGGATGAAATAGCTGTCCAATGTTCTTTGGTTTTTAATCGTACAGCAACTGAGATTAATTTGCGACGAGTGAAATCTATAAATTAAATCAATTTCCACGACACCCCTTCCAATAAATAATAAACATTAAACCAATCTAATGTTCACTATAAATTTATTGAAAATGTAAACAACCATCAAAACGGAGTCATTAGTACAAATAATAAAATCATAATGTTAATTGTACAAATCAGCGTTATGGGTAGGTAGTAACGAATAGTATCCTGAATACTTCTTAATGGTGATCAAGATCTATTACTCACGTGTGTAGTGTGTATGG